TGACCCCAGTTCACCGCCCAAATGCACCACCCTCAATTTTGCATTAGAATTGCGCGCTAATTGAGCTTGTGCAAGATGGAGAGGACTGATAAGTAGTTGTAGTGTACTGTACGGCATAAGGAAAAAGGGAAGTAGTAGACCAGGAAAATTTCTGTTCTGTATAATACATGTAGCTATCTTCTCTCACACACACACATGTACACACATACACACACACACACACACACAACACACACACACATGTACACACACGTGCACAAACACACACACACACACAAACACACACACACACACACAAACACACACACGCACAAACACACACGCACGTGTACACACACACACACACACACACACACACACACACACACACGTGTACACACACACACACACACACACACACACACAGACACACACACACAGAGCTCGAGGCACCCCAACAACCAATCAAACAGACACAGGGCCTTCATAATCCTTTGCCTTCACTAAAGCTCCGACTGGCCAGTGCATTGATCATTTATTGCGTTTATTCGTCTTTTATTTGCAATCAATTTGGCTTGTCCGACATCAATACATCTGCTTTTCTCCCGCCTCCAGTTGAAGTACATTCCACCCGTGCACTGTTTGGAAGGCAGGTTTCCTCAGGGTAGAACTGAAAACAAGAAACGAAAGATTGGTTAAAATATAGCAATGACATATTATGATGGTGTCTTTGTAGTGTCTGGATGTGGTTGTCAGTTCTGAAGTTATTTCTATATGCTACATTAAAGATTAATCAAGCCTATGGTGACAACATCCTTTGCTCTCTGTAATTTTGGGTCACGGGGTCATAGTTTACTACTTTTTTTAGTGTGTCTGAGTGTGTATGTGTGTATTTCTTTCCGCATTCTTTGGCCAACATAAATCAATAAGCTATGGATCGGTTACACTTGGTATTTGAGTAAGTAATGGACAAAGGTCAAGGTCAAATTAGGCCTAGTGACTTTCTTTGGTACTGCAGTAGAATTTCCTTTTTTTACTATTTGGTCAAGGTAGGGTCTTGTCTGGCAAATACAATTGGTTGAATTGGGGCCTTTTTGCCTCTTCCCTTGGTACTGCAGGAGACCTTTAATTTTTTGTCATTGTGTATGTGAGTTGTTTCGGGTATGCTATATGGTAGTTACATATTTAAAGTTAAAACTTACGATCCAACACAAAGACGTTCTCTCATCTAGAGGCTTTCGACCAGTCACTCTGATCTTCCTCAGTGCACTCAACCTCGACGGGGGCCGACGTCGTCTTTGACCCAGTGTTGACGTCACACTTCAAAGAAGCCACGTGACAAGCCTCACTGGGTCAGTCTACTGAGGAATATCAGAGTGACTGGTCGAAAGCTCTAGGCGCGAGAGAACTTCTTTGTGTTGGATTGTAAGTTTTAACTTAAGACAAATTTCTTACTTGTCTGGCAGATGAATTTCTGCGGGCGGGTGCAGTCCAAGTCGTTCCACATGTCGTTGCCGGCTGGGAGGTACTCGCCACAGCCCTCGTTCCCTCCGGAATTATTCGGTTCCCCCTAGGAGCAAATGTGACGGTTAGCTTTGAATCTCATGTATGGTAGCCTCTACCAGGCTTCGGGAGAGAGAGGACAATTTTCTTCGGAAGCGGCAAACTGTTCTCTCTCGAGTCGACCAAACTCCCTTGGTATGTTATCGCTCTATTTGGCCGATTTCTACTCTTTTCAGCCACCTCCCGAAGCCTGGTAGAGGCTACATGTGTTCTTCATCACCTACCCACTACAGGTTGTGACCGACGAGAGAACATTTCACTACTAATTATGAAGTCCCCAATGGCCATCAAAGCTGTCTAATGGCCTTAATTACAACTTTTTAAGCCCGATCCCTGCAGACCCTTTTGCGCGCCGTGTTGGTCATTCGAACTTGATGAAGGCAACAGTACGGAACGAAGTTTAACTGATTACTACAAAACAGTTGGCTGGTCTTATGGTATTCCACATGTAGCCCAGCACCACAGACCCTAACTCTTATCGCTTGGTCTTTCAAACCTGATGGAGGCCAGAGTACAGAGCGAAGTCTTACTGATGTCTGCAAAGCAGTTTCTTGGTCTTACAGTGTTTTCCTTATTGGAGTTCACCAGTGCAGAACCATCAACGTCTGAAGTCTTCAACATGTTGAATAACCAACCTATGTGATTGGTCATTCAGACCTGATGAAGGCCACAGTAAGGGACGCAGTCTAGTTGATTGCTAAAATACAGCAGTCTCTTACGGTGTTCCACTTGTTGAATCCCACCATCGCCGTCCCTAAACCCTAGCGGTAGGTCATTCATACCTGATGAAGGCCACAGTACAGGACGATTGCTAAAAAAGTGGTGACCGGACTTACGGCGGCCCACTTGTTGAATCCCACCATCGCCGTCCCTAAACCCTAGCGGTAGGTCATTCATACCTGATGAAGGCCAAAGTACAGGACGATTGCTATATTATAAAAGTGGTGACCGGACTTACGGTATTCCACTTGTTGAATCCCACCACCGCCGTCCCGTCCGCGTAACGCCACTGTCCCTCCGTCCCGACGTCCGTCAGGCCTATCCAGAACTTGCTGTTAGCGTCCGCGCCGTTTTTCAGGAGGAGACAGAACTGGGAAAACAAGGAGTAATTTTTGTGAATTCCTTGTTTTATTCCTTATTGTAACTTTCTCACTAATTCCGTGTATATTCTCGACCACGTGTAATACTCGATTCCCTAATCATGAGTTCCTCCAATGTACCGTCTTCACATGCTTGTTTGTTTGTTTTTGTTTGTTTGTATTATACCTGGTGAATATACTCGTTCTTTGGCTTGACCAGCGTCTGTCTGTAAGTTGCGCGAGTTTGTTAGTTTGTTTATTTATTTGCTTGCCTGTTTATTTGTTTGTTTGTACTGTACCTGGTGAATGTCCTCGTTCTTCGGCATGGCCAGCGTCCCTCTGCAAGTTGCACAGGTGTTGTTTGTTTGTTTATTTGTTTGTTTATTTATTTGTTTTTTTACTGTACCTGGTGAATATCCTCGTTCTTTAGTATGGCCAGCGTCCCTCCGTAAGCTGCGCAAGTGTAAACCATTTTGTTTATCTGTTTACCTGTTTGTTTGTTTGTTTGTTTGTACTATACCTGGTGAATGTCTTCGTTCTTGGGCATGACCAGCGTCCCCCCGAAAGTCGCGCAGGTGTTCCCGGCGTCGTACCAGGACTTCTCCTCCATGAATGCCCGGACGCAGAGTTTGGGGTCCTGGAGCATCGCCAGGAACCCGGTCGGGCAGGTGCCTGGGGTGGGGGAAACGACAGTGATTTAAGAAGAAAATTAAACTGTTCTCCAACTCAAAAACAAATTAACTCACCAGAAATTTCCGATTGAAACGCTCTGTCTTCATCAGCTTTATGACCCAAGTGCTGTGGACACGTGACTTTTAGCCACACTTGGGTCATAAAGCTGATGAAGACTGAGCGTTTCAGTCGGAAATTTCTGGTGAGTTAATTTTTGAGTTGGAGAACAGTTTAATTCTGTTCATGTATTTTACCAACTCAGATGAACTTTCATGCAAGCCACCAATTTGTTTAAAGTTAAAACTTAAGATACAACTGTTAAGAAGTTGTCTTACCTAGAGCTTTCGACCAGTCACTTTGGTCTTCCTCAGTAGACTGACCCAGTCAACACTAGGTCAAAGGTATCTGGTAGACCAGAGTGACTGGTTAAAGCTCAAGGTGAGAGAACGTCTTTGTGTTGGTCGCTAGGGTGGTTGATTGGCTGCGACACCGAAAGATCTGCTTGAATTTTACATATTCCTACCAGATGGGAAAATTTGGTGGTTGGTGGTTGGTCGTGTGGTGGTTGTAGCGTGCGTGGTTGTAGCCTGGGTTACAATGCTGCCGCTGCCCGCCGCCGCGCAAATTCCGCAGAACTTGTGGCACAGATCCGCCACGTAGTCAGTGTGACAGGAGGCGGTGGTGGGCCAGCCCGGGTTGGCACCGCAGTTCGGACTATCGTCCTGGCAAGGATCTTAACAAACAAACAAATAAATAAATAAGCAAACAAGAATATAAGTAAAACCGGTGGCACAAAGAAAATAAAACACAAAATGGCCAAAACACACGTCAACTATACTCCTAGATGAATCACATCTTGGAATTGACTATCATTTTTATACTATATCCTTCCAAGTCTAGAATTCACGCATAAGCTTGAATTAGTGCCACCCAAAACAATACTTCCGTCCCTGAAGTAACAAAACCTGAAGATATATGTAAAATTTGTGGCATAGGGCTACATTATAATCAGTTTCCGTACTATCTGCACTGCGTCATGCAATATGCGCTACTGCACTGTAATATGACTTCATTGCAACGCACAACGCGAGTTCAATGACCTTATATCGCAAATTTATCGGTATTTCTACATCTGACGAAACGCTTGTTGTTATGTCGTCAGTACTTGTATTGGTTCTAACTGTAGGTGTTATCTGCTGTTGGAGATAGGCGTGTTTGTCTAGCCTGGGGCTAATCAACGAATGCCGAGCAAATTTCCTATCCTACAAACACAAGTAGCCACGTGTAGCCTCTACCAGGCTTTGGGAGGCCTATCCTACACACACAAAACTCCCGGCCCACTTGTAGCCTCTACCAGGCTTCGGGAGGCCTATCCTACAAACACAGAACTCCCGGCCCACGTGTAGCCTCTACCAGGCTTCGGGAGGCGGCTGGCCAAAGAGAGAGATGACATATCCGTCAGGGGAGTTGGTCTGCTAGAAACTGCACTCTCTAGCGGACCGACTTGCCTGGTATGTCATCTCTCTATTTCGCCATATTCTACTACTGTATTTCCAGCCGCCTCCCAAAGCCTGGTAGAGGCTATCCCACTTGACGTGTGTGTGGTGGTGGGGGGGGGGTATAGTCTTGGTATAAAAACAAGAAATGCTTTAAAAAACCTTCTGAAAATACGCCAACTGATAACGTTTCAGAGGGTTTGCTTGAAAGTCAGATGCAAGATCGAAAATTCTATGGCCCTGTCAACTGTAAACTAAAAAAAGGCTGTGGTTGGCAGGCTTCTTCTGGGGTTGGGTGGAAAACC